AAATCTTATATATGTCTTAAAGTATGTATGATCTTTGCTTTTTTTTTGGTTTGATGTTCAAGCAAATTTATCTCTCAGATAATTTTAAGTGAGTTTTACTACTGCACACTCATGTTTGCCTGAAAATATGTGAAAAGGTAACGTTTTGGATCTTAAAAACATTTAGTTTCTTCACAAATGTAGCTTTTTCCCTTATTGTAAGAACATTACATATTCATTAACTACCTATATTTTACCTTTTTAACATCAAGAATCAAGACTATGGTTGTCTTCCATATTTTTGCATCTAAGCACTCAGGTCAGAGGTTTTTAAACTCCTCACCTATGAATACCTCACAGAGCTTAATCACTCTCTTGTATTATATGACAAAGACTTTCCATAAAGTTTATCTTACTAAAAGCACAGTATTTCCTTTTTCTTAAACTGTCAAGTTGTTACCAAGCAGCTGTGGCTAGGAGGGAGCAAAGTTCCATGTGAATTAACATCGTTACATAAACACATTCTCAAACACCTTCCCAAGTGGCCTTGGTTTACTCTCTATCAGCTGAAGAAAAATGGCTCTGTCCTAAGCAAAATAGGGTAAATATGTTAGTCCCCAACCCCCAACACTGGTTACCCTTTTTTTGGCATTATGGGGTGAAAATAATCCACAGTAGGTTAGAATGACCCAGCTCTGCTTCTGCATTTTTGAGCTGGAAAGAAAAGGAGAGGATATAGACACTGACAGTGGGTCCAAGCAGAAGAAATATAAGGTGAAGATTATTTCTTCGCTGGATGAGAATACCTCATTATTTTATAGTCCAAGTTGAATTTAGAGTTTCCATTTATTAGACCTGTACCTGGTAAATCAGAGAAGAGAAGAATGCATTCATTGAAGCCATTGGCCAAAAGCCGGTCTCGCAGCTGCTGGAGAATGGCCACTCCAATACAGAACGGGAAAGAGGAGTTTCCAAGTAGTAACGTATCCCAGAGGTGGAAAATTTTGTGCAGTGGAAACACATCTGTAGAAAGATTTTTTTTCTAATTACTTAAAAGTCCAAAGAAACAAAAATTAAAATACTAATAACAGTTGTATTACTAGATATATGACTTTATGGTCAAAACCATATTTAAAAGCCAATATTAGCAAATGGTTTTGATAAAATGTTTGACTCTGTAAATTTTAAAGAGAGATTTTAAGTCTATTTTTATTCATGTGTATGAGCATCTCTCTGTATGTATGCATATGTGTGTGAGTGTTCATGGACAGTGCTGGGTCTCCCTGAACTGAAGTGACTGACAGTTGTGAGCTGCCTGATGTGGTTACTGGGAACCCTACTCCAGTTCTCTACAAGAACAAAGAACACTCTTAACTACTGAGCCATCACTCCAGCACCTGACTTCAGAAACATACAGCTTCCTAAGGCCTTTTAAAAACTGCTATTAGATTCTTTAAAAATATTACATTTTTTGACTTCCATTAACAATCTTAATATATTTTTCCTATTCAAGTATGTCTCAGGATTTTTCAGTGAGAGTACACAAATTTATTTATGTAGTTGAACTTTAGAATTTGGACAATAAGGTAACATTTCTATTACGCATTATAAAAAACTGCTTTATTAAATTCCTATCAAAAATTGTATTAAAAATTATAATTGTGTTTCTCAGTTAATAGTACTATGAATCTTTTTCTAGGCCAATGCATGCAGGCTATCTAAAATGTCATTCCACTTATGTATACTGCATTTAAGTATGGATGTTCACTTCTACTATATCAATATTGCAACTAATTAAAGCACTACATGCATGTAATATGATTAATTTCTAGAAGATTCCTAGCTTAGGAAATAAAACCATGAATTATTAGAGAATAGTTAATCTAGAAAGCAAGTCAATTTAGTTGCAAAAATTGTCCTCAAAAACCTTATGTAGCTGCGTGTAGTGGCATAGGCCTTTAATTCCAGCACTCAAGATGCAGAGGCAGGCAGATTTCTGTGAGACCAAGTCCAGCCTGGCCTACATAGTGAGTTCCAGGCCAGCTACAGGGGCTACAGGGAGATCCTGTCTCAAAAACAAATGAAAAACCCACCTCATGTAAACTCTACAGTTGATGTTAAGTTCTCTTCTTATAAGGGAGCAAAGCTCTATGTGACATGTAAAATTATAAAAATTTTTATTTATTTTTACTTTATGTACATGAATGTTTTGCCTGCATGGACTTAAGTGCACCTGTGTCATACAATGCATGCAGAGGCCAAAAGAGGGCATCAGATCCCCTGGAATTGGAGTTCTAGATGGTTCTTAGTCACCATGAGTGCTGGGAACCAAACCTGGGTCCTCTGCAAGAGCAGCAGTGCTCTTTACTGCTGAGTCATCTCTTCAGCCCTGTAACATAGATTTTAATCCTTTGCTATATTCTGTTTAAAACTTAAGGCCAGAAAACTTGAGATTATTTTCTATATATCATGATAGAATTTCATAAAGATGCATATTAAATTTACTTAATATTACTGTAAATTTAAAATTCTGAGGAATGAGGCTACACTTTTGCTACTACTACAAGGAAAAATCATACTTACGAGTAAACATAGTGAGAAACCAGGGAATGGCGTACAGCTACAAGCAGAAGGAAACAGGAGCACAGGACATGGACAAGAGAGGAAGCAAGGGTGTAATTAGGATGGTTGCCAACAAACTGATGGTTTACAAAAGTTCTTCTATGTTACATTGATAGAAACACAAAAGAATGCAGGTGATTATAGTTATCACAAATACAACATTATGCAATAGTATCTATATTACAAATGTGGATGATCATTTTGCCAGGAATTATTCATAGTATAACTTCAATTCTTCAAAGAATACACTCAAGACCATGGCTAAATCAAATTTAATACTAGTATGTGAATTTTAAATGTGTTATTTATCAGTTGTTTAAAAATATTGCTTGATTTTAAAGGTCCTAATGACAGTAAATGTTTTGTCTCTAATTGATATAATCAGAGAATACTCAGATATCTGATTAAATGTTATTTTGAGATGCATTTCCAGATAAGGCTAACATTTGGAAAAGTGTTGATTAGAGTAGACTGTCCCCCAGGTTAGATGGACACCTCCAGTCCACTGAGGACCCATACAGAAGGAAGGTGGAGGAAAAGGAATTCACCCTCTCTTTTCTGCCTCTTTGCTTGAGCGTGAACATTTAATTTAACTTCATTGCCTTGCCCTTAGAATGGGGCTGTCAATAGCAAGTCTCAAAAGTCAACAGTAATTTATAGAAAAACCTGAAAAAAACATAAACTTTATTTTACTTTGTGAGTCAATACAGTTTATGATTAAACAAAGATTTGTACTACTTATAGAACTTAGACATTCTTTCATCACTTATCAATTATAAATTTATGAGGAAAGTTATATATTGTCTTGGCATCATATACAATAGATTACTTATCCTATTGAAATGCTAGTTAAGAACTCCAAGTATAGTTGGGTATGGTGGCACATACCTGTAGACCTAGCATTTGGGAGGCAGAGGCAGGCAGATCTCTGTGAGTTTAAGGCCAGCCTGGTCTACATAGTGAGTTCCAGGACAGCTGGGGCTACAGGGAAACCCTGTTTCAAAAAGACCAAAAAAACCCCACCACCACCACCAACCCCCCCCAAAAAACCCTAGAAATATAAATACATAGCTCATTAAAATATATTATAGTAAAATAAAGCACATTGATTTCCACATCATCATTTACATAAATTCACAGGAAGATACTTCTTTCTTGAGATATTACAAATGTGAAAAAGCACTTCATTTCACAATAATAAGCACGAGGTGTCTAAAACAATAAGATATGACAAAATATAAATTCTACATCTTAATTTAAATATTAAAGTTATAAGGGTCCATATTATTTGACCTTTATTTAAAGGCATTAACATCAAATGTATTACTCGGTAACATTTTGATTAGAGTCAACTATTTGTCATTAAGAATTGTTTTCCTGGATTATTTCACCAACTAGTTAGTAGAACATGCAACCCCATACTATTTTCTATACTTTTTTGGGGCAGTACGAGGGGTGGAACTCGGGGCTTTGCACATGCTAATGAAGTACTCTACCACTGAGTTATATTCCAAGCTCTATTTTCTGTAATTACTAACTTTATCAGGGTCCACAGTGGGAATATGCTTCTGACCAAGATGGAATAACAGGAACTAGATTTATGCTCCTATCTGGAATGCATGAAATTAGACAGGACATGTGAAACAACACTTTGAAGATTTTAGGTATCAGATAGTACCACATAATGCACAAGAGGGGGAAACAAATAAAATGAACCCTACAATTGCCCAAACTGCCAACTTACTGCATGCAAAAATGTTGTAGGACATTGATAGAAAGGAAGAGACAAGACACAAGTCCGTGGTCGTCCTAAGCTGAGTAGGCAAATTTGGGAATCTGGAGAAATGAAGGCAGAATCAGAATAAAGCTAGAAATCTTCATAGCATATTAGTGACAAGACAGAGCTGCATACAGAGAAAGCTCCAGAAATCTGCAGAGTTCCTCTCAAGTCACTGTGAAGCACGAATAAAGACATGTGTGTAAAGAAACTGTACAAAGTGGGGACGTCCACTTAAAATAACCAGAATCAAAAGTTGCTGTGCTCATGCAATACCAAGGATAGTTCATTTTTATACCATTGAGAAAAGGGAATAAAAATAAAAACACAGATGAAACAAAACAAAAGGAAACAAAACAAAACTCTGTAGTTTCGAAAAGCACTGGATAGAGTATGAAGAAAACATTGCCTTAGTAATGATGCAAAATTAAGCTTCCAAATTATGCTGTTCTGGTTTCATTTTTTGTTTGTTTGAGACAGGGTCTCACTGTGTACCACTGGTTAGTCCTGGCCAGGAACTCACTATGTAGAACAGGCTGGCTTCAAAGTCACTTAAAGGTATGTGCCACCACGACCCACTCCCATTTAATAAATCTTAAAAGGAAGCTTTAACAGGACCAAACAGATTCAATGTAACTAAGCTGCATCCAAGACACCACTATCATTGTCATCCCCAAATTGCCTTTTTGATTATTAGTGCCCATTACTCTAGTCAGTTATGTTTTAAATAGCATAATTTAAAGTATTTCTTATTAAATTCCATAGATGTATTTTTTACATCTATGATGATGTAGAAAGGGTACATTGTCTTTGTTTCTATCCAATTCATAACTGAAATGACATTGGGTTATTTCTTTTTGCATGAATTACTGCAAAGATTTCATAGTTGTTCTCCTTTCAATTTCCGCTTGCTCCATTATCTCCTTTAGTCAAATCGATCTTCAGAAATGCAACCGTCTTACATCATTCCCCTACTCCACTCTGACAATGTTTATCCACTATATGCCAAAATATCTGTGTAAACTTCTTATGTTTTTATTTAGGCAACTGATTTCATGAAAGGAGCCAGAAAATAAGTGCTTGAGTTCCAACTCTGACAATTACTAATGCTGTGCTCAGTTGAGTAGGATAATCTCTGTGAATCCCAAATATTTTGTTTGTGAAATAAGTACATTATCATCTATTTCAATGTCTCATAGAGATACTACATGATTGAAATGTTTGTGCCAGTGCCTTGTAAACAGTAATACACTGTGCAAATGTAGTGTTATTTTTTAATTCCTTCCTCCTTCCCTCCCTGCAGC